GCCAAAGCAAGTAACATGTCTGGTATCTTTGGCTAGTTCTTAGATGTCAAACAGAGTTAAATATATGCTGCCTAAAAGAATATACTTCATTCACGCTGAAATTTAAGATCGCTTGTTGAAACTAACAGAGTCCATATTTGGGGGTGGAGGAGCACACTGGTGACTTAGCAAGCTGAACCTCCACCTGCAGCATCCCCCAGCATCTCACATGGTCAAATCCCAGCTGCTCTGCTTCCATCCAGATCCCTGCTAATGGCCTGGGCAAGCAGCAGAGGATGGCCCAAGGCCTTGGGACCCTGCACCCGTGTGGGAAGCCTGCAAGAAATTCCTGGCTCCTGGCTTAGAAGGCTCAGCTCTGGCCTTTGCTGCATTTGGAAGAGTGAACCAGCAGATGCAAAATGTCTGTCTCTCCTCCCTGTAAATCTGCCTCTCAGATACAAAAAAAAAAGAAATCTTTCTAAAAACATTACTATATTGAGAAGTGTTATTCTCATATGCATTTATCAGAACTATTCCCCCTGAAATGGCAATGAAAACATCTAAACCGAAAAATCTCTTAAGAAATAAAAAGATAGGGCCCGGCGCAGTGGCGCAAGTGGTTAAGTCCTCGCCTTGCACGCCCGGGATCCCATATGGGTGCCGGTTCTAATCCCGGCAGCCCGCTTCCCTTCCAGCTCCCTGCCTGTGGCCCGGGAAAGCAGTCAGCAGTCGAGGACGGCCCAAAGCTTTGGGACCCTGCACCCGCGTGGGAGACCCGGAAGAGGCTCCTGGCTTCGGATCGGCATAGGATCGGCCGTTGCGCTCACTTGGGGAGTGAATCATCGGATGGAAGATCTTCCTCTCTGTCTCTCCTCTCTGTATATCCACCTTTCCAATAAAAAATAATAAAAATAAATCTTTAAAAAAAAAAAAAAAGAAATAAAAAGATACCACTCTAAAAGACTAAAACTTTGAACAAGTACATAAAACCTGAAGCTTCCTGAAGTTTTATTTTCAGTAAGGCATACGACTCCATCCTTCTTCCTGTGCACTGGACCATAACAATGTGCTTAAGATTTTCATAGAAAGCATATTCAAAATTACTGTTTGTTACACATGCATATTCTATTTCTAAAATTAAGTCACCTATTATAGTCTAAGATACTGGTATAAAATTACAACCACTGTTTTGCAGGTTCATGGCTTTAGATGCAGATAATCATAATAAAAAAATTTCATACTTTGAAATTTACAAACCATGCAACAGTAAAAATTTTGTAGACTGCAAACATCTGGCAATGTATCAACTAATCTGAATCAATCCAAACACAGCTTTACAAAGTAAAAAGTTACTACTAATAAGAAGATACCATCAATAATCAATTCTTCCTTTTCAGGATCTATTTTTACAAACTTACTACTATTACGAGAAAGAAAACCACCACTGAGTAGGAGACTCACCAAGTCCTCACCAAGATTTCTTCTGAGTAAATTCACAGGTGCAGCAGATGATTTACCACATCAAATTTGTACTGATAAACTGTATTCCAAAAAGAGTAATCCTAAAAGCCATTAATTCAATCTGTCCACTCTACAGCCACTGGATTATTTACTTCAAATACTTAAAGTACCAAAGCCAAGCCAACATCTGTTATGATTCCAAGCTAAAGTATTACTTTATTAAAGTTACAGGTATGAAAACAAAACTAATACCACTTTACTCCTTGTGACTGCATTTGATTTCAATGAAGACTGCAGAATCTATATGGTCAAGGCACAGTACATTAACAACTCTATTTTTTGAACACTACCAATTTCCTTTATAATTAGAAAACCATTCCCAGAAAATCAGAAAATTTTACCAAGTTAAAAAAAATATGAGTATAATCAGAACAAATTTTTTTTTACCTTCTGAAATTATGAAATCTTTCAAAACTTACCAATATAAAAATCTGAAAAATTCTATAATCTATATTGGACAAAATGTAAGAGAACTTCAAATATTTAAATAAATCCTATTATGCCAACCAAAACATGCAAGCAAATTTTTTGCAAATGATCTTATTCTAAAACAGACAAAACAATAAAAAGTCAACATTTCCTTTAGTAAAATGAAAGTTAAAAAAATATATATTAGAAAAGCAGTACCAAAAATTCAACTTAATGACCACTGAAGCATCTTAGCAATAGGAGGATGCCATGTACAAAAGTCTAAATTTCTCTCTCTCACACACACACACACACAATCTTATCCAAATCAGCAACTACATTCTACATAACAAAAATGGTGAGTAATATTAATTTTATTCTTCCATAGGGAGCCCAAAACAAAGTGAGAAATACCAGTGGGGAATTCCATTAAGACTATAGCCAGGGGCTGGAAATGTGGCATGGTAAGCCAACACCTAAAATGCCAGAATCCCATATGGGTTCTGGTTCAAGTTCTAGCTGCTTCAATTCTGATCCAATTCTCTGCTAATGTGCCTGAGAAAGCAAAGGAAGATGGCCTAAGCAGCCCCTGTGTTCCACATGTGCAGTGAACCAGCAAATGGAAGATCTCACTGTATTTTTGTTTAGCAGTCGTCTTCTTTTATTTCTAGTAATATTTATTTTAAAGGCAGAGCAACAGGAAGGGATATGGGAGAAGAGGGGAGAGAAAGGGAGGGATGAGAGAATCTTCTATCCACTGGCTCACTCCCCAAAAGGCCACAACTGCTTCAGGTAGACCAAGCCAAAGCCAGATGCCAAGAGCTTTATCTGGGTCTTCCCAACGGGTGGCAGGAGCCCAAGCACTTGGCATCATTCACTACTTTCTCAGGCACACAAACCTGAAGCTAAATGAGAAAGTGGAGCAGCTGAGAATCCCACTAGTATGCACATGAGATGCCAGGGTCGCGAGGGCAGCTTGACCAGCACATGGAGAGAGACAGAGACAGAATGAGGGAACTACACAGTTCTAACCAAATAGAAGAAAAAAATCTTACACAAAATTATTAAGTGGTAAATTTCACATTCTAATATTTCTAGTACCAAGCAATGATTTACAAGCGATTCTGGTACCTCCTTTGCTTATTCTTTATAAACCATGACTTGTTACCATGTTTAGAAAAACTATAAACTATGTTTTTACTCAAAAAATCTTAAATTTTTCAGAATGTCAATTTCCCTGCTTCACTCATAAGTATTTGTAGCCTTAAAAAGTTAGTTGGTAATGATTAATGATCTCTGGAACAATAATTATTAAATAGTACTCAAAAATATTAGCAGATGAAACTCGGTCTGTAATAAATGTCAAAATCTGTTTATGCTTAACAGCTAATATAAACATGTTTCCTCACACTGTTCTCCCAAACACAATCTTTTACTTCCTCAATATAAGTTTGGTTAACTGTTTTACAAGAGTATTACTCCTTAAGGAAATTATATATAGTTAGAAGAAAAAGAAAACATATAGTGTAACAGCTGGCTCACTTATTCCTAAATAAAATCCTCTGTAACATTGTACATAATGAAATACTGGATACACAGACTTAATATCAAAAAATTTTACTCTGAAAGAATGAAAACATGGATGAAAGACATGTATATATGTGTGTATAAATATAAATGTATATATTTACACACAAAAAATGAGTTAGCATATTTCTACAACATATTTAGTTAAGATGAACAAACATGTACAAACATACGAATGTTAAGGTAAAGCAAGGTAATATATATTCACATGCAAAAAGCAGGCAACAGTACACAGAAATTATATTACTTCACTAAAGGCAATATAATAACGAACTTATTGCAGTACTGTATTTAGTTTCCATCTCAGATCTTAAAAAATATAATAAGGATATAGGAAAAAACTTACAGCGGAAAACAACAAAAGGTTTTAAAACAAAACATGAAAAAAAAAGTCTGGGATTCGGGACGGCCTAGTTTAGGAGAAAGACCACATAACATTATCAATTGAAATATATAAAACAGTATGATTTTTGATAGGATTATACTTAGTTGGGATTTCCCCTAAACAACAGAGATTAAAGGAATATTTCTTATAAAACACTGAAAACAAAGGTAGAGATGTTGTAGTGCTTCTTTCCTCATTTTGCAAAGAAAAATGTGTAATGATCTAAGATAATCTATCAAAAACTGGTTGATGGCAGAGAATGAATTTCAATAGAAGACCTCCAAAATAAATTTCACCTGTTTTCAATTTTGAAATAAAGAAACCACAATCTAATAGACTATCCAATGAAATAAATAGTTTTGGTTCTATGGCAAACTTAGATCAAAAATATAATATTCTATAGAATAAACATTATGACCAATGCAAAACCACGATTCCAAATTTTACTGCATTAAGTTGAGTAGAGAGAAGCAGAATATCAGAATTATTTCAGAAGCTTCTTCTAGCTACATAATGATTTCTCTGTATCCCAACCATGGCTAGGCAAATGGCTTGCGACCTAGTAAGATGAGTATTATGTATAGATTATGTAATAAACATGTATTACATAGAGAAAACTCCTCAGGCAGCTGACACAAAATGAGTAGTGGGATCAACTAAAGTACCCTGTTAACAAGGCATTAAGTTTTTGCATATTTAAGGTAGTGAAGAAAAAATACAAGCTTTATGAAAAGTTAAGTTTTAGTATTAACTACTAAAAAACTGTTCAGCCTTATTTGCAAAATAGGTAAAATTGGTTTAAAATTGCACAAAATCATACTAGTTCCTATCCATTCTACTCAAGCATTTTTATAATAACCAAAAAGTATTACAACAGAAGATATAAAAACATTTAAAATACAATTTAATAATTTTTATTCGCAGTTTAGAATTTAAACAACTCACTGGGAACAGTGAGGCAGTGTAGCCTTTTTTATTATTATTTAGAACTATTTAAACTTCAAGACAGGCTCAATACTGTTTTTCAAGGGCAAGCAACCAACATTTTAGCTGAAAACAGTCAACTCAGTGACCATCTGGGACAAAGATGTGATTATGTGAGCCTAGAGAGCCTCCCCACCTCGGTCTCCCTGGTGGAGGAGGAGGAGGTCTCTGTGTGCTTTTCTGTGGTGGTTCCACTGAATTCATTACAATGGAAATGGACATTTGAAATTCATAACGATCCAACATCTGAGCAATCTTCTGCCGAGACACACCATGTTTATTCCTCCTACCAAAAAGAGAAAAGGATTTTAATTATCTGGTTAGAATGCAAAAACCCAGACATTAAACTTTATGAGTCACAAAACAGATTCCAAATGATACTCTACAAGAAAAAATATTATTGCCGGTCTCAACATTTTTAAAACATATTTTTCAAAGATTTTACTTATTTATTTATTTTTGAAAGGCAAAGAGATAGACACAGACACAGGACCTACCATGTATTATTTTATTCCCCAAATGCATATAACAGCCAGGACTCGGCAAAACCAAACTCAAGAGAAATCTCTCATGTGGCTGCTGGAGACCCAATTACACCTGCTGCCTGCCCGAGTGCACATTAGCAAGGCGCCAAAATAGAGAGCGGTGCTAGGATTTGACCCAACGCATGATACAGAACACAAGAGCCTTAAACTGTGAACTGGCCATTGTTCCAAAGGCCTCTTTCAATAACACTACTTAAAGATTACTAAGAAGACAAGCCTGGCATGGTAGCCTAGTGGCTAAATCCTCATCTTGTGCACCCAAGATCTCTTATGGGCACTGGTTTGTGTCCTGGCTGCTCCACTTCAAATCTAGCTCCCTGCCTGTGACCTCAGAAAAGCAGTCGAGGACAGCCCAAAGAATTGGGATCCTGGGAGAACCAGAAGAAGCTCCAGACTCCTGGCTTCGGATCAGCTCAGCTCTGGCCATTGCAGCCACTCAGGGAGTGAATCAGCTGACAAAAGATCTTCCTCTCTGCCTCTCCTCTTCTCTGTATATCTACCTTTCCAATAAAAACAAATAAATATTAAAAAAAAAAAAAAGAAAGAGTATCAGAAGAATCAAATGGTTCCAGAACTTACAAAAAAAAAAAAGTATTCATGACTTTTTAGAAGTTGTTACAGGACAGTCTCTGTATCATTTTAAAAAGTCATCATCATGAGAGCTAGTACTGAAGGCAAAGTGAATCAAGCCACTGCTTGAGACACCAGCACCCCACACCCAAGTGCTGGATGAAGTTCTCATTGTTCCACTTCTAACCCAGCTCCCTGCAACTGAGACAACAGGGGATAATGGCTGAAGGACTTTGGGTCCAGCCTCCCAGTGAGAGAGCAGACGGAGTTCTGGGCACCTGGCTTCAGCACAGCTGCTTCGGCTATCTGGGTTAGTGAATCAGTGGACGGATGACCCCTCCGTCACGCTTGTCATTGAGATAGATAAAATCTTGGAGGAAAAAATCATGCTATCAATATCAAATCATTATTAGAGACAACAGTTTGGATATCTCACCCAAACAGGAGTGTATCTGAAAAGGTTCATATAAAATCAAATGTAAACTTAAGTTAGAAGTAAATTTTAAATTCATAGTGTTTTTTGTTGTTGTAGTTGTTTTTTAAAGTGCCTCCAATAGTAGCACTGAGCTGATGTCTTTTTTTTTTAATATATATTTATTTATTGGAAAGGCAGATATACAGAGAGGAGGAGAGAAGGAGAGACAGAGAGGAAGATTTTCCCTCTGATGGTTCACTCCCCAAGTGGCCACAACAGCTGGAGCTGAGCTAACCTGAAGCCAGGAGCTCTTCCGGGTCTCCCACACAGGTGCAGGGTCCCAAAGCTTTGGGTAGTTCTTGACTGCTTTTTCAGACCACAGGCAAGGAACTGGATGGGAAGCGGGGCCACCAGGATTAGAACCGGCGTCCATATGGGATTTTGGTGCGTTCAAGGCAATGACTTTAGGTGCTACACTGTTGCGCCAGGCCCCTTGTTGTTTTTTCAGATTTGTTTTTATTGGAAACGCATATTTACAGAGAGAAAGACAGAAAGATCTTCCATCTGCTGATTCACTCCCCAATAGCAGTAATGACCAAAGCTGAGCCAGTCCAAAGCCGTGAGCCAAGAGCTTCCTGTGGATCTCTCATCCTCTACTGCCTTCCCAAGCCACAAGCAGGGAGCTGGACAGGAAGTAGAGCAGCCAGGACAAGAACTGGTGCCCATACTGGCTCCTGGAGCTTGCAAGGCAAGGATTTAGCCAGTAGGCCCCTGGGTCATGCCCTAACCTACAATTATATAATAATATATATATACATAAACTATTTTGGAGACTCTTTGTAATGGTAAGGAAAGGACTGTTCGAACAAAGGGAAAAGTTGTAGTGTCAGGGTGAAATATGCTATAGCAAAATTTCTAAAAAGTGGACAGTAACTGTGATTACCAAGAAACAAAGGGTAATCATGACTGGGAAGAACACGAAGAGCTGCTAAGGCTCCACAACACAGGTGACTGACATATACGTATCTGCTAGGAAAGGACACTGCTTAGCTCTGTATTTGTATTTTACGTATTTATTTGTGAATTTTTATGGAAAAATAAAGTGGCTTGTAAGTCACTCTTTCAAAAAAACTTTTGACAATTTATTTTATCACGTTTTTTTATAACCTTACCTTGGACATGGCAAAACATGAACGTATTTTACATTTAATACTATAGCTCTGGTGTCAATTCATTTTTCCCAGAAAAGACACAAAACTAATGCATACTTTCAAATATCACATTCACATTCAAAATAAACAGAAAACAAAGAAGAAAGATAAAGAAACCTGAAGCTGAAAATAAGATTACACCCTGATATAACAATGACTCAATAAATTCTTAGTGAGATTAAGTCATGCCAGGTATCAATTAAAGCAACTTATATAAATTCAATTTAACATTAAAAATTAATATCAATAGTTCCTCAAATATAAATGAAGCTCTAACTATATGACAAATTCATCACTCACTTATTCAACATAACTCAAGGATCTTTAGTTTTACATCGCTGTCTCTTCAGCAGCAGGTGTATTACAAACACACTCAGGCACATAAATAATATCATATATTAACATTACTAAATCTGTCGATCTAGTGAACACATGGCACAAAATCAGAAACAAAGCGGCCAAAGGTATGAAGGCAGAGGGGAAAGAATTAAATTAGCAGCTATGAAGCTAGAAGAGCAAAAATTGAGAAAGGAGCAAAAAACTTGTTTTAAAATTTGTAATAGATGCAGAAATTTGAATGAAACCAAAAAAAAAAACCACTAAACTGTATGTTTACAGTATACTAGTTGTGAAATATGTCAATTATACCTCAAAAAACTTGCAACCAAAAGGAGGACATAATGCAAGTGGAGAAAGAAGAGCCACTGTCAGCAACAGCAGTGAGGTAAGAATAAAAGAACAAAGCAGAAGCTGGGGGAAAGTAATGCAAACCCAGACTCCCAGCCCAAGTTCTGACATCTAGCAAGCTCTGAAAACAGCCTTCTGCTAACTCACACGTAATAAACCTAAGCAGACCTCAGTCAGCTGGCAGCACAGCCCGCCCAGAATTGGTGCTGCGTGCAGAACTGTTATGACACCAACACGTCATCCTTCGCTGCAGATATACAAGATGTTTGGTTATGACATTATGTCCCAAACTCCATGTAATGTTACAATTAGGAATATCCACTAGGCCACTTTCAAAAAATTCCAAAGAGTAGGAATTCTAAAACATGCTGTTACCAAGGATATAGGCATAGGAGTCTGAACTTGGAGTAGTAAAGAATGAAGAGCACGAAGGCTCACGCAGGAGATGAAACTGAAAATACAAAGGAGATGGTTGCAGACTGGTAATACAGAGTAATGACACAGGGAAAAAACAGCGGAGAGCCAAATTTTACTTTATAAAATTCCTACACATCAACTAAAATCCAAGAAACTATGAAATAAGAAGTCACATAACAAAGGGAAATAAAACTTAATAAGGCAAGGTTACTCAAACATTTTAACTATTCCTTTAAGCAAAAGAAACAGTCCCTACTCATAACAACAAGCAAAACGCTAGCAAACAAACTGACAATGTTAATGAAAAGTGAAAGAAAAACAAGGATCCAATAAAATTCAAGTGCCTTACTTTTCTAATTCTTCAGGATCAAATTTCCACCAAGTCTCAGGCTCATGAAACTCTACTCTGTATCCTTTTCCTATGGCCTACACAGAGGAAAGGAAAGAAAACAAAACCCAGGCAATGTGTCTTCAGGTACAAGAAGGCAGTCATTTAGATTAACACCTCTAAAATTGCCCAACCAAGCAAAACATTATTCTGTAAAATAATATGAACTTCAGATTGAACTTGAAAAAATTAAGTTATTCTCCTTAAATTCAGGCAAAACCATGAACACATCCCTTAACAAGAAAGAGTTTTAATATTAAAAAAAAAAAGCTAGCCAGAAAACAAATCTTTCCAGAAAACAAGAACAAATGTTTGAATAATAAAGATGAAAGTAACGAGAATTTTAAAATTCAGGAAAAAACCTACTAGTAATAATAAAAATGAAAGCATTCATGATTTCATATTTACCATTTCGACATATGGCTTCATTTCCCAAGCTTGTGTATTAGTATTGTCTATTATAACTGGAGATCTCCCCTGATCAATAGCTTGTTTTGCTGAAATAAGAAAAAAGTTTAAAAACAGAAGCCATGATTAAGTTAAAATATACAAATAAATGTTGAATGCTCATTAAAAATACCAACATATTTCCATATTTAAATCTAAAGCCAGGGACCATCACTAGGTTTAACTCCTGGCCATCCTCTGAACAAGCCCCCTGGAAATGCAGCTGGGAAAGGAGTAATGACGGCCACACTACTCAGCCCGGCCGCGTGTGAGGCCAAGATGACATTCCACGCGCTGCCTTGGCATGCCCCGGTCCTAGCAGTCCCAGCCATTTAGGGAGTCAACCGCCATGCATATCATCAATCAGTCCAAGTCTCTCCCCCATTCTGTCTCCCTGCCCCTTACAAACCTACGGCTTGTGAACAAATAAAACTTAGAAAAAATGTACAGTTTCTTGAGTGTCATGAAAAAAATAAAAATACTTGCATTAGATGAAAATACACATACGACACGCTGAGCATATTCTCTGGACTGGATGCTCATTGTTGAGAAGTGTTTGTTTCTTTTAAATTTATAAGTATTTTGGGAGATAGAAAGGGACAAGGGCAGTGGGCACTGTGGTGCAGTGGACTAAGCAACCACTTGGGACACACATCCCACATCAGAATGCCTGGTAAGAGTCTGGGCTATTCCAACGCAGATCCGGCTTCCTGCTAATGTGCACCATGGAAGGCAAGCTTCAGCTCATGTTTCAGGGCCCCAACACCCACAGGGACACCTGGATGCCACTCCTGCCTTCAGCTTGGTCAAACCCCAGGCAGATGTGGCAGGTATCTGCAAAGTGAATCCCAGGGGAAGACATGCTGCTGTTCACCCATTTTCTCTCTTTCCCTTTTTCCTCTCTCCGTCTCCTACTCGTCAAACAAAATGAAAACAGATTTTTAAAATGGAGATCTGGATCCATGTAGCAGAGCAGAATGGATTTCCTGGCTCCTGGATTTGCCTGGTCATCTGTGAAGTGAACCAACAGACAGAAGATCTCTCTCTTCCCAACTTTGTCTTTCCCTCTGTCACTAGGTGTTTCAAATAAACAAATCTTAAATAAAATAGAGAACTGGGAAGATTTCCTGAGATATTATCTGTAGGAGGTGGGAATATTTGTATCCGATGTTTATCTGTATTTCCCTATTTTCTAAAATGTACAAGCAAAAAAAAAAAAATAAGGCCTATATGAAAAAAAAAAGGTTAGATTTTCAAATGGATTAGTAAGGTAGATAAGAACTTTGCTAAACTACATGTCCCTATCCCGAGGCCACAGCTTCTAATATGAGGTAAGAATTACAGTCATAATAAGCCACTGCTAATGACAGGAGTAGCTACACCCTTCAGACTGTCATTAAGAAAAATAACCCAGGGCCTGACATAATGTCCTAGCAGATAAAAGTCCTCACCTTGCATGCATCGAGATCCCATATGGGAGCCAGTTTGTGTTCTGGCTGCTCCATTCCCCTTTCAGCTCACTGCTTGCTGGTGGGGAAGGCAGTAGAGGACAGCCCAAAGCTCTGGGACCCTGCACCCACGTGGAAGACCTAGAAGAAGCTCCTGGCTCCTGGCTTCAGATCAGCTCAGCTCTTGCCATTACTGCCATTTGAGGAGTTAACCAGCAGATGGAAGATCTTTCTGTCTCTCCTTCTCTCTGTAAATCTGACTTTCCAATATATAAAAAAATATATCTTACAAAAATAATGAAATGCAATGCTATAATTATTTTCTAGGGATACAGAATTCAAACTACTGAATTCAACCTAAGGAAAATATAAATATTTATTGTTTTTTTCTTGATATGGTTTCATAGGCACAGGGATTTCTCCCCTCCACCCTTCCCAACTGTTTTCCCCCACATTATTATAATAGTGTAGTCCTTGAGCAACAATCACAAGTCCACCATTCTGCTATTTAGGTGAATCATGGCATTGAGGAAAAAGACAATGGTACAATCTAGTATCCTATTGTCAGGTTGTAATTTATCAATTTCATTGGATTTCTCCTCTGATGCGGGGATAGAGTGCATACTGCAATGTTATCTTCTTTTCCTGGTATGCTAGTCTCTATTCTACAGTAGGATACTCATGCTGAGGTCCAGGCTCCTGGCTTGAGCCTCTCCCAGTCCTGGAGAGTGATACAGCAGGTCTCCGTGTTTGTTTCCTTTAAATTTATAAATAAAACATTTATGAAATGTGAATTCTGCTAACTATACTTGCTGCAGTGATTAATGGTATCTTAATAAACTACTGATGGTCTTTCTTGCCAATGTAACAAAAAGGACTTTCTCAGACTTTTTTTTAAAACCTTTTTTTTTGAGATAATGTAATCTAACAATCATTAAACATTCTGAAAATTCTAAGCACGATTGTTAGGACAAAATCAAAACTTTTCAGCAAATGTTATCTGAATGCCTTTCAACATCAGGCACTCTTTCGGGAAAATCAGCTTCATGTTTAGCATTAGAAGAATTGTAATTAATTTTAGAATACTTGCAAATCAAAAACATCCCCATGTTTCCTTTTTTCCTCACAGTATAGTGGTTATTTAAGGAATCCAGCCTTTCTAGTTAGCCAGGTGTTCACATACGAGGTCTTGGTATTTTTTTTTTTTTGGCAGTGCATTGAATTGTGGTAATGGATCATGATTATATATGAAAAGAAGATAATCTCCTTAAATGAGATCCTTTGGTAGGACACAACTCCTTTCATATAATCTAGTTGTCAAACAGTAGGATAGTTATGCTTGTAAGAATTTTTTTAATGGAAGATTTGATCACTATGATTGGAAATAGAGCAGTAGAAAATGATAGCATTACACTGGTAACTGTAACAGAACTTGTTTATGACCCAACCTCTAAATTTCTTTTGGAATTTTCAGACATTTCCCAAATATTTATCACATCATAGTTACTACTCCTTAACCTTCACAATTCTGTCTTAAACATATCTATGTGATATGTAGTTAACCGTGTATATACATATATTCTCATAGATACCTAGCATCCCAGGAAGAGAAGACACACTGCAGTACACACCTCCACTAATGAAACTTACGGCGCCCTTGGCTCCATGCCTTCGCCTTGCGGGGGCTGCTGCAGGCATTTGGGGAGTGATTCTATTAAAGGGAATCTGTTTTTACCTCCACATGTTTGTATGTTTATCCAAGACAAGTTTCAAAAATAACTTAAATGAATTTATTTACAGAATTTCAGACCAATAATTTTTTAGTGATTGTATGTTAGAATCATCTGTTTCCCCCATGCCTTGACACTTCCCACTGTAATCAGAGTTCCACATAGGCATACATCCTTCTCAACTATGTTAACAATAACAACAACAACAAAAGAATTATCTATGCTAGCATCGTGGCAGAGCAGGTGAGGCCAATGCCTGTGATGACAACATTCCACAAAAGTACTGGCTGCTTCATTTAAAATCTAGATGTCTGTGAATGAGTATGGAAAAGCAATGGAAGATGGCTCAAGAGTCTGGCTCCCAGCACTCAGGTGGAAACCCCAGCAAGCTTCTTGGATACTAGTTTTGACCTGGCCCAGTAACAGCCATTACAGCCATCAGCACAGAACACCAGCAAGATGGAAAAATCTCTAACTGCCTTGCAAATTAAATAAAAAAAAAATAATCTAAATAATTTATACACACACACACCAAATATATACATCTTATCTCATCTGTATCTTATTTTTCTCCCACTCCAAATCAATTAAAATCAAAATCTACAGGGCTGAGGGACAGGAGTAAGTCTTACTAAAATCTCCCCAAATTAAAATATAAATACAAATACAAATATAAATATAAATATATATATATCCCAAGTGATTCAAATATGCTGCCAGATTAAAAACGATTGTTTGTAATAAACTCATGTACTCTAAAAAAAAATGTATTTAACTGGTTCCTAGCATATCAATATCAATAAGAAAAATATTCAGAATCCTTATGCTAAATTTGGAAAATATAAACATTACTCAAGGAAATAAGAAGTTATATACATCAACATTTTGTAAGTTAGATATTATGAAAAATACAAAATAACACTGCCTAAAATAACCCATGCCTCAACTTTTGATGGCTTACATCAATATAGTATTTATAATTTATAAATTTATAAATTTTTTATCTAAGTTCTGATTTTCACAGCAAGTTTTATCAGATAGGTTCTCCATCTCTAATAAATAGAGAGCTTGGGTTTCAAAGCTATTTAAAAATGTCTTGTCAAAATCATCCAGCTGAGTTGAGACTGCTTCTAAAACAAATATGTGTTTTGACTCCCAATCAAATATTCTATCCCAGAAGACTTGGTCCAAAACAAACCTCTGTTCTGGTTCCAGTCATGGGCATCACCAAGCTGATTAACATTATACCTGTACCCATCTTGATGGTGAAAATAGTCATCAGTGCTGAACACAATGCCGTCACGACTCTGACCAAGCAGAATGCTGTTAATAAAAGAAATTATAAAGGTGCCATTTATAAAATCTGCAGTCACCAAAATAAACCACAAAGGAAGTACTATCAAATGAATTTCTGGCACTTACCTGTAAGTATACTGCAAATATAACAACACTTCACACTTAAATATGTAATTTGGGATCCTGCACCCACATGGGAGACTCCTGGCTTCAGATTGGCTCAGCTCTGGCCACTGAGGCCATTTAGAGAGTGAACTAGAGGATGCAAGATCTTTCCCTCTCAGTCTCTCCTTTCTGTAAATCTGCCTTTCCAATTAAAAACAAAGTTTTATTTAAGTGAAAAATATTTTGGTAATTTAGTGGTCAGTGCCATAGCATAGATGACAAAGCCTTTGCGTACAGCGCCGGCCATCCCCAAACGCGTGTTGGCAGAGTCACAGCAGCTTCACTTGCACTCCAGCTCTCTGCTAACAGCCTGGGAAGGCGGCTGGAGAGGGCCAAGTCCTTGGGCCGCTGCAACCACAAAGAAGACTCAGAAGAGTTCCCAGCTCGTGGACTGGCCTAAACCAAGTCACTGCAACCACCTGGGGAGTAAACCAATGCACCGAGCACTGAACGTCTCAATCTATCCCTCTCTCAATCTTCCTCTCTCTCTCTCCCCCCTTTCTCTGTAACTCTTTCAAATAAGAAAACCTTAAAAAAAAAATCTTTTTGATATCCATGCAATCTTTTATGACAACAACTTTCTGAGGATGCACTGTATCATGAAATACAATTTTTTGCATCAAAACATATTCACACATTTTAATAATTTGCATTCTTTTTGAATAACATCAAATTTATAACAAAATTAAAACAGACAGGTATAAAATCAGTGTATAAATATATACACTCTTATAGAATTTTAAATTAAATTCATGGTTTCATGAAGTAGTTCTTTTGGAGGCTAAGCTGAATTTTCCTTTTTAAAAAACAACAACAATTTTTTTCTTAAATGTATCCACTTAACATATTTGGCATTTTATTTCATTGCACAAATAATCTAGAATATAAAAAAAATCCCATGCCACTAGCTTTCTAAACCAACGCTCAGGCAGCACTGATCATAATCAAGCACATAACACAACCACACTCAGCAGTGCCGGGAATCAGACATCATAGTTCCTGTACGCGCCATGTTTCCTTTACTTTCATTCTATTATTTTATTAGCATCTAATTTTTAAGATGCTAGTAATTTTTAAAATTTTTTTAAAGACTTATTTTATTTTTATTGGAAAGGCAAATATATAGGGAGGAGGAGGAAAGGCAAAGAGGAAGATCTTCTGTCAGATAATTCACTCCACAAGTGATCAAAATGGCGAGTCAAGCGATTTGAAGCCAGGAGCCTCTTCCGTGTCTCCCATTAGGAGGATCCCAAAGCTTTGGGCCATCCTCAACTGCTTTTTCAGGCCACAAGCAGAGAGCTGGATGGGAAGCAGGGCTGCCGGTATTAGAACCGGCACCCATATGGGATCTGGGCACATTCAAGACAAGCACTTTATCCACCAGGCCATTGCGCCGGGCCCTAAACTTAATTATTCTTATAGTAAAGGCAGATTTACAGAGAGAAGGAGAGACAAAGATCATCCATGTACTTGTGCACTCCATAAGTAGCCACAACAGCAAGAACTAAGAGAATCCAGGAACAACTTCTGAGTCTCCTACGTGGGCGCAGGGACCCAAGGCTTTGGGCCATCCTCTGCTGTTTTCCACGCAATAAGAAGGAACTGGTAGCTGGATCAGAAGTGGAACAGCCAGGACACAACACAGCATTCATATGGGCGGAAGCAAGGGGTGTCTGCAAGCAAAGTGAGCCACTACAGAAGTCCAAATGCTTATATTTTACTACATGAGTATGGTATTTTTAAAAGAAAGATTTATTTTACTTTATTGGAAAGACAGATATACCAGGGCCTGGCACGGTGGCACAAGTGGTTAAGGAAAGACAGATATACCAAGAGGAGGAGAGAGAGAGAGGAAGACCTCCCTCCGCTGATTCACTCCCGAAGTGAGTGCAATAGCCAGAGCTGAGCCGACCTGAAGCCAGGAGACAGGAGTCTCTTCCACTTCTCCCATGTGGGTGCAGGCCCCCAAGGCATTAGACTGTTCTCCACTGCTATCCCAGGCCACAAGCAGGGAGCTGGACGGGGAGTGGGGCTGCCGGGACATGAACCAGCACCCATATAGGATCCTATGGGATCCAAATGAGTGCAAGGTGAGGACTTTAGCCGCTACCATCAGTATGATACCTTTTGTATCCAATAAACAATTCAAAAATTTCCAGTGACCAGTGCAGTTAACTAATCCTTTACCTTGAAGCACTGGCGTCCCATCTACGGGCACTAGTTCATGTCCCGGCCAATCTACTTTCCATCCTGGGAAAGCAGAGGAGGCCCAAAGCCTTGGGTCCTTACACCGGTGTGGAAGAACAGGAAGAGGCTCCCCGCTTCGCATCAGTTCAGCTCCAGCTGTTGTAGCCATTTAGAGTGAACTGGTGAATGAAAGATCTGTCCCCACTGTAAAACTGTCTTTCCAACAAAAATGCAGAAATAGTGGGGTAGAGACAACAAAGACAATTATTTCATTAAACCTTGTAAACATTAAATGCATATGGATCCTAGGAAGATATATATATATATATACATATACATATATATGTATATATATGTATATGTATATATATGTATATACACACACACATATATATTATAAACATACTCAGTAAGTTTAGCTTGGAGGCATTCTTTCTTCCCAGGTATGCGCAGACTGTAAATAAATCTTTTCCAAATCCCCTGCATTATTTAAAATTATAGACACAATTCTGGAGATCTAAAAAATACCTATGTGATTCTAGAACTGACTTCATAAATTGCATCTGAATCATCCTCGGCTGCTTTCCCAGGCCCCAAGCAGAGAGCTGGATGGGAAGTGGAACCAACGCCTATGCAGAACCCCATGTTCGCAATGGGAGGTTTGCTAGTTTAGCCATCATGACAGACCCAAGATAGTAAGGACAGTATGCTGCACTAAATACTCAACAAACTCTGCTCACTCCAGCAGCACATACACCAAAACTGGGACAACACTCAACAAATTACAGCAGGTACTGTTACTCTAATATGAGCACTGGAAAAGCTGCTAAAATCACAAGTCGCCAAATTAAGCCTCTAAAATCTAAATGACTTCATCTGAAATATATTCAACAAAATTATTGTAATTTACCTTAAAATACCATAGCACAGACAGAACGAGATCATGTAGATTATTGAAATTACCCTACTAGAAAAAGGATGTCCAGGGTGGTTTTGCTAGCTAAGGCTGGGCTCCAAAGATGGCTAAAAGAGGTTATTAGAGATCAGCTACCTCCTCATCTCTGACCAACTCCAGGCAGTTATTGCTAATTATGAAGTGCATGGCCTGCTTGTGAAAATACAGTCATTGGTAAAATCACTGGAGCAAAGAAATGTGAATTAGTTAGAATATTTTTTGATTATTGATTTTTTTTAGGATTTTTTGCTTACAGAAGGCAGGTGGAGCAGAAGTAGAGCAGCCAGGACTCCAACCGACACCCATGTAGGATGCCAGCACCCATAGATGGCCATTCTGTCCACCGTGTCACACCACAGCTGGCCCTGTATTGACCTTATCTTAACATCTTTGGTTTTTCTACCAACTAGCCGTTGAAAATTTAACACTCTGTACTTGTCTTTGCAGAACAATTCTTTTTAAATAAATAAACAAATGAAAAAATAGATTTACTTATTATTTATGCTTATATGAAAAACAGAAACTAATCTTCCCTTTGCAACAGCCAGGGCTGAAACATAAGGCTAAAATTCAATTCATGTCTCCAAGGAAGTGGCACCCAAGGACTTGCTGCCTCCCAGCGTGCACAAGCAGCCAGAAGCCAGAACTGGAAGCACAGGTATGCAAGAATCCCAAGCAGCATGCTAACCAGTGTGCCAAATGCCCACTCCAGCTAAAATACTTTAAACTCTTTTCCGTGCATGAGTAGGGTTTAAGAATCTAGTAAAAAGCTAATTCAAGGCCCCGTGTAGTGGCACTACATGCTAACCCTCTGCCCAAAGTCTAATCTCCAAACAGTCCTGTGTCCAACCACTGGGTTAAAGGATCATATGCCTGTGGTAATTACAACTCTCACAAAACTCTACCTCCACAGTATTACTGGCTCCTGCCTTAAATGAACATTTCATCGAAGTACTGTCAGGCTGACTAAAAGACAAAGAGCTGTCACCTTCCCATACCTACAAAACAGTGTGAACTCTTCTGCCCCGGCTTACTCATTCATTAGTTTGAATTTGTGTTATAATTTAGACTAAGACTTTCATTAATATGTGATAGTGAAGTAAGGAAAAAACTGATTTACTTCAATAATTAGTGAATGAAGAGATACTGCTATCTTCAGTAGCTCATGTTAAATGCAATGAGTGGAAAAGCTAAATAAATTCAGAAAGAAGTTTATTGAGGACTGAGATGACAAATCAAAGCCTCAAAAAGAGACATTTAAGAAAATTCTTACATGAGCAGAGTCCTGGGAACAATGCATGACCATGTTTCTTGTAGTGGAACAGAAGATTAAGATGTGAAAGATCTCAAGATGGAGAAGATGAAGGGGGAAATGAGAGACAAAGGGCACTTTACCATCCCGAGAGAATTTCAGTCTTACCCAGCTGTCCATATCCATGCTCATGTACCAACACTAAACACTGCTTTTAGCTTAGCGCTCCAAATCAGTTCAACTGCTCTATCAATTCTTTTTTCTTTCTTTAAAGCTTGTTTTGAAGCCATTTCTCATCAGAGAATATGTGACTATTTAGTCCAATCCCATACTACTACACTCAAAAAGTGTTTACCAAAGGAAATCCTGCCTCTTGGTAACCAGATTCCATAAGTCAGAACACGCTACGGCTTGGACACGCTTTGAGTGCCCCCAAAGGTCCGTCCATGTGTTAAAAATTAATCAACA